CGTAAGTTATTCCGTCTGATACGGGAAACAGACAGCAGGAGACCTGGTGTTGGCGAGACCATATGAGACAAAAGAGAGCAGCCGAGAAACAGCCTGTCAAAACGCTTGGCGATTTGGGCCGAACACTTTGCACAGCAATTTAAACAACATAAGTTATCGCTTTATTTCTCGGGCATTGTGCGCCCTTCTCTCTGGGCCGTCTTCTTGGATCCGTTCTCATGCGCGGAAGTCGAATTTGTGATTAGGCCATTGAAATTGCATAAGGCCGCAGAGGCAGAGGGAATTCTCCCAGCTTTCTTTCAATTCGCGAGACCTGCTCTAGTAGATGATTTACACGAGTTGTTAGTGAAAATTTGGGAGAAGAAAACTGTCCTGACAGACTGCAGCCGCTTCGTCATTGTCCCAATTTTCAAGGGAGGCTCTTGTTCGGAATGGGGCAGTCAAAGAGAGAGATCAGTCTGATTTCAATTGCCTCTAAATTGTTTGCATCTGTCATTCTCTACAGACTAACGTGCACTTGTGAAAGCCAGGTTCGTGAAGAACAAGCCGGGTGTCATGGAAGTCGGGGCTACATCGACCACATCTTCAGTTTGCGTCAATTGTCGGAGCACCGCAATGTTTATTGGAGACCCACCGTTGTCGTGTTTCTTGACATAAAAGGTGCCATCGACTCAGTCGATCGACGCGCCCTTTGGGACTATCTGCTGAGGAAAGGTGTGCCTGATAAATGTGTAAACATTATCAAAGCGCTGTACGCGCATAGTTTGAACAGAGTGAGGGTTGATGGCAAATTGTCGTCACCCTACAGTATCACCAGCGGTGTGAGATAAGGTTGTCCGCTGTCACTTTTCCTCTTTAACTTCGCTATTGATGAAGTCATGGAAACAGCGTTCGCTGCACACGATCTAGAAGGTGTGGAGCTATTTCCTGGTGAGCGAGTTCTTGACTTGGAGTATGGGGACGATATTGCCCTAATCTGTGACAGCTCCCCATCATGCCAAGCAGCACTGGACCGATTAGCATTGGCTGTCAATCGTTTTGGGCTATGCTTTGCTCCATTGAAATGCAAAGTATTTCTCCAAGATTGGCAGGGACCCAACCCTGCACTAACGTTTTGTGGTGATCTCCTAGAAGTCGTTCAGGAATTCAATTTACTGGACAGCTATATCCGCGCCCGAAGGATCGAAGATGACGTTATGTACCGTATAGCAAAAGTTCGAGGTGCTTTTGCGAATCTCCGCCATATGTGGCGCAGACGCGACATCACTCTCACCCTGAAAGGGTAGTTTATAATGCAGACGTCCATTTAACTCTCCTATATGGTTGTGAAACCTGGCCTATCAGGTCGACAGACATAAAGAGGCTGGTCACATTCGATCATCGCTGCCTTCGCACCTTAGCTCATGTCTGGTGGGAGGACCGCGTGAGCGGTGAGCGTGTTTGGCGTCGCGTATTTGGTGCAGGAAGAGCGAGTGAACCGCTCAGCACCATTATATCACGCACCAGGCTCCGATGGCTTGGCCACGTGTTGCGCATGCCAGCACACCGACTCCCGCGACGTGCATTGTTTGCGCGTTGTGGGTGCGGTTGGAAGAGGAGGAGGGGAGGCCAAGTGATGACTTGGTCGAGAGAAATGAAAACCCTCACTTCGAAGTTGGCGTCAGTTGGTGCATCCCGACTGCCTGGCTGGGGTCCTAATGACGGTGAACACGTTTGGTTGGACACACTTGCTGATATGGCTAGGAGCCGGCCCCAGTGACGTTGGTATTATGAGTTCCTTTGTCCATCCCCCTCCTGCTTAGTCTCCACTTCAAACACGATGGCATTCGTTAGGCATAATATAACTCTTTTAGCGGCACGATAGACGGCTGTAAGCTCTTTGGAACGATGTACATCCGTTACTGTGGACACAGCCGGCGTGCCAATGCTTTTTTTCTTCTTGTCTTTTGTATTGCGGCACAATAGCTGAAGTGTTTTCCACCTGCAACTAACGTGTATAATGATGATAATGATGGTGTATGGACCGAGATTGGAGCTTATGAGGATGCACGCAGATTGCAGACATAATGCAGGTCTAAGAAAACACTTTGACTCACCCTTGAACAACCGTTCAGAGATCCAATGGCCTACTTTGAACCACCTGAAGCAGCACGATGTGAAGACGAGTCTGGCAGTCACGCTGACACTGGACGAGACGCAGAGAGCACTTGCTCAGCTGCGAAACGGCAAGTGTGCCGGTGCTGACAGGATCCCGCCTGAAGTATTGGAACATGACGTACCCGCGTTGTTGACTGCGTTGCACCACTTGGAGCAAGGCGTGTGGATTGCGGAGGTGCCTCCTGAGCTGTAGGATGTCCATGTGTTACCACCGTACAAGGGAAAGGGAGCAAGCAATGTTGTACGAGTTATCGGGGTATCAACGTGCTGTGGTGTTGTCAAGGTGATTGCGAGAATGCTGCACAATTGCGTCGTCAGTCAGGTTGTGGAACCTAATGTGGCGGAAGAGTAGTGTGGAATCTGTTCTGGTCGCAGCACTATAGGCATGGTGATTGCGGCAGGAGACGTGCAAAGAACGACACCAGGCGTTGAACTGGTTTTCTGTTGATTTCACCAAGGCATTTGATACGGTGAACCGCGAGGCATTGTGGCTGGTGTTGGGTAAGTTTGGTTGCCCGCGTAAGTTTGTAAGTTTAATTGAATGTCTGCACAGTGGTATGCTGGCGATGGTGCAGCTGAGTGGAGAGACCTCAGATGACTTTGCAGTTCTCACTGGTGTGAAACGAGGCTGTGTATTAGCTCCTGCCCTGTTTAATATATATCTTCATGCAATAATGTCTTGTGCTTTTGATGCGGCTTGTGCTCACGGTGTTCGTGTGGAGCACCGTATTGATGGTCGTTTGCTGAACATCCGTCGTTTCGGTGCGAGAACTCTAGTCTGTGAGACAACTATTCGTATGTTGCTGTTTGCTGACGACTGTGCGTTGTTTTCACATAGCGCGGATGAGTTGCAGCACATGACTAGTGCTGTGGCTTCGACAGCGGCCAAATTTGAGCTCATCATCAGCAGAAGCAAAGCTGTCTGTCTCTTTCAGCCTTCACCGGTGCAATCTCCAATTTTTTCGCAAATCAACATTGGTACTGAAGTATTGGAAACCACCTTCCGCTTCTGCTATCTTGGGAGTGTGATGTCGAGTGACTAGCAGCTTCACAGTGAGCCTCGAATCCGCGTCTCGAAGGGAGCGGTAGCATTCGGGAAGCTTGAGTACCGAGTGTGGAACAACCACCAGCTTACCATTGGCACGAAGCTGATGGTGTACAAATCCAGGGTGCTGTATGTTTCTCTATACTGCAGCGAAACGTGTACAATGTACCGTCGGGATGTGCGACATCTCGAGCGGTTCCATCAACAGTGTTTGCGACGGATTCTGCGCATCGGTTGGTGCAACAGATTTGTGGACACGGAAGTGTTGCACCGAAGTGGAATGTATGCAGTAAACTGCATACTTTTGCTGAGACACCTAAAGGTGGCTCGATCATGTGAGCCGTATGGATTCGACGCGGATATCGAAACAACTATTATATGGTCAGCTGAGTATTGGGAAGCGACATGTGGAGAAACCGATGGGTCGTTAACAGGACATGATTAAAGTGAGCCTCTCACGTTCTAATCTTGATTGCAGATCATGGGAATCGAAGGCGGTTGATCGGCCTGCATGGCGCGATCCAATCACGAAGGCAGTTGCCGAAGTGCAGGAGAATGACCCCATACATGCAGAGAAGAAGCGGCAAGTGCGAAAGCGCCATGCAACGATGGGATGTACTCCATCGACATCGAGCGCATGGTGCTGTAGAACATGCGGTCGCGAGTGCCTGAGTCAGGCAGGCTTAGTGAGCCATGAGCGAAACCACTCGGGACCACTACCGAAGCGCCGACGGGTCCTGCACAGAAGGTAGGCAGAACCAGCGCAGCGCTGGTAGGTACACTTCATTCGATTTACTAACCGCGTGCTTGTATGATGAATTTCTTTATTTCAGATGGTGGGTTTGCTATCTTGTCTTAATGGAGATTTTCTTACCTCATTAATATTTTTCTTGATTTATCTATTAACTTGTAAATGTCGCTTAAATAAAAGACGCTTAACTTCGTTTGTTTTATTTATTCAGCGAATGTTTTTAATCTCTGTCTGCGATCTTCAATTTATTGCGGTTTTTTGATAATGGATTTATATAATGTGCTTATTTACTGGTATATCCGTAAGGTGTTTTCGACCTGTTTTATTTGATGTCCTCATTTCAAGTGATTAGTTGCTGCTTGACATCCACGGTGTGACTGCGCTTGATGTGCATGTTGACTAGGTGCGTACCTGTCCATTACCCACTATCTCGTCTATACTGGGTCCAGGAGACAGTTGGTCGTTGCTGGAGGGGACGGGGTGCACGGTCCTTGTGACCGTGTGAGGATCAAAGAGCGGTTCCATGCACTCAGTGTGGAGCAGACTACGGTCCAGCCACTGCCTTGTATGTGCGGTTGATTCCCCGAATACAGCCTGCTTGTGTTTGCCTGTGAAGGAGTGTGGGTCGGCTCCGTTGATGAAACCTGGCTCCTATCCACATGCCCCCCGGTCTTATTCCTTCGGGTTTACACTGGATATGGGGTGTGTGGTTGGTGCAGCGCAAGCCACCCACATGGTCCCTCTGTAGGCGCAGGCGTCCTGTGGCTGGTCACAGTGACAGGCAAATCCGGAATCAGAAGCCGCCAATTACCTATTATTTGCATTTATGTGTTAGTGTTGCTCAGTTGTATGCATTACATACGATCTATGTCTTCTGTTTCCGATTGCTCCCACGAGGATTCTTTCCTTTATTTGACCGGCTGCTCAGTCTCTGACACCTTTGTGATATTCCTTTAGCTCGAATTGTTATCCGTGAGTCTTTGCACACAATATTCCCTGTAACCAACTTGATTCTGTCTTGTTCTCTTCCACCTGCCCATTTTTTAGTGGAATTTCCCTCTTGCCATGATCACTCGAAAAGTGGGTGCAGCACTTGCAGCTGGATGCGCCGTTGTGCTAAAACCTGCAGAGGACACACCACTTTCTGCTTTAGCCATTGCCCATCTGGCGACTACAGAAGCAAAGCTACCGGAAGGCTTGTTAAGCATACTAACTGCTCAGCGCGGGAAACACGGAGCTGAAGAAATTGGATCGGTGATGTGCTCAAGCCCAGACGTCCGGTTAATCGGCTTTACCGGGTCCACGAATGTTGGCAGGGTCAGTATTGTGATACGATTCTCATTAACCGTTGTGATACGTCACCCTCATTCGCTTGAAACCGCCTTTTTCGTCTATCTCCGGAGGGTATTACCATTCTCTTTCTCTCTCGCCTGGATAGCATCTTGTCCTTCAGAAGGTCGGTTCATTCATTTTAAGCCTATTTGTCTTTTTGAATCCTTAGTGGAATTCTAATGGTTTGTATTCACTTTCATTGTTCGACTTTCGATTAGTCAGCCAAATTGGCTGAGTCCATGTACCTTGTTTGATTTGCCAAGTGCGTTAAACGGGTTGAACAGAGTCAATCAGGAAGCGTCAATGAAAGCCGTCACGATTGTCACTTCACTTTACTGAGAGTCAGAAACACTGAGACAATTGCTAGAACATTTGGACAATACATAGTGTGATTCATCTCGAGTAGAAAAACAAGTGTTTGGCAAGTCCCATAGGATGGTTGGGCTGAAAGCTGAAAGCATATGTGATTCACCTGTTTAAACATCCACCGAGTTAAATACACTGTTGCATAACGATAGCATAAAATTAAAATTGTATGCAAGCGAACGGAACAACATGAGATGCAGTGACAATTGACGTAAAGTGTGCGAAAAGTACATATTAAGTCGCTTACACATATACCGCCTCCTCGGATCCATGTGACCCATAAATCCGGTAGAAGGACATGATTAAGGTAATCCACGGCAGCACAGCCTAGTTAACGAAGTGTCGGAAGCCAAGAGCAGCACTTCATCGTTTTTTGGAAGATATCCAAAGTAGGGAAATAAACAGCTAACGTTGGGAGTGTTTTCCAAGGTTGGCAAACCCCACGGGAAAAATAATTTCTCCGATAATCTTGACGGCTGTATTGTTCATTCGGCTTCATTCAGTTACCTCTAAGCTTGTTGTGGTGGCTGAGTCTCGACAAATGGAGCCATGCGTGGTTTGAGTCACGCAACATTTGGTACACTACTATACGATTACCGCTTAACTGTAGGTAGCATCCGCTTAAAACTCCCAGCAACTTCAGTCCTCGCTGGTAAGAATGATTGCGTAGGCCTTTGACGTCCTCTGTTGTCCCGCGTTGTAATGCCTCTAGCTCCTCCAGGTCGCGCTTCAATCAAAGTTGCCAAGCTTGCACGGCGTGTTTAACGTGAAGGCGCACGCGTAAGTTGTTCATCCTCGGAAACATTGATAGGTAAACTCTCCCGAATTCCGTTCGCAGCTGGTCGACGTACTGGTTGCCTCTTTTCGCAGCTACCCCAGACTGTTTTGCACAGTTGAGGTCACTCTGCACTGGTACACAAAGGTCATGGTAATGGGAGCTGGCCTGCAGTCTGTGTGCCCCAAGCCGATACTTGTACTCATGCTCATGACATGATTGAAGAACTCAGCATTTTTGTGCATTAAATGGTAGATTATTTTGAGCTGATCAGTTCGAAATCGTGTCATGATCACACTGAAGCCTTTCGTCGTCGTCTCGTCCTCTGATCGCTTGCCATAACTTGATGTCATCTGCGAAGAATAGGAAACCGGAATCTATTGATCTCCGTAGATCGTGTTTGAAAACCAAGGATATTCTAGTCCCTGTCATCGGGACTCCACCTCCACCTCGATTGCGTCGAATTGAGATTCCCATACCCTTACCTCCAACCGATGATTATGTAGAACATTGTTTACCCAACCGAGGATTAGATCGCCAATGCTATAGTTCCGAAGTTTATGGAGATTTCCGTGGTTTAAGCGATCAAATGCTTTTGAGAAGTCCAGGTAGATGACATCAACTCCCGATCCACCATCAACTGATTTGGTCAGGCTACTGCGTGCAATTAACAGGTTAGTAGTACATGAGCAAATTTGGTGGAAGCCATGTCACTCCGAGGCTGTTATGCTATGCTTTTCTGGGGATTGCATCAGTGCATCTGTGATGATTCACTCTATAACTTAGAAAGCATAGGATGCAGCGTTATCACGCGGTAACTGATAGGGCCAGTGCGACTACTTCCCTTATGAATAGAAGTGATGACACCTCGCTTCCTTATTGGCGAACTCCTATTCTTTAGGCAGCGCTAATACAAAATGGCCAGTGGTTATGTCAGATCACTGGCTGCTTTTTCGAGAGCTTTCGGCCGATTATTGTCGACTTCAGAAGGACTGTGGGTACGTAGGGATAACAGCTTCTTCAACACAGATTCTGCGGTGAACGTGGTATTGGGTAAGCCTAACAGTGGAGCAATAGCAACGGAATGTACATATTTGCTCGTTACCTCGTGTAGCGTAAGGAAGTAATGAAACCGCAGAAGCTAAGCGGTACCCTTTGCTGATCCCGTGCACCTGTCGGTCGTAAACAGTGCTGTGCTTCTGCACTGCGCCTTACGAAGGACATTAAGGTGCCTGTGTGTAACAATTTGCGATCAGGGCAGGATTGCATTATTGTATTCTACTGATGCGTCACGTTATCATCGCGGGTCAGTTTCACACAAATGTTACGCTTTGTCACATCGACAGTCCAAGTTCCGATATTCGGACAGTTTGTGTTTTCCATGTCAGATCCCTCAGGAACATATTTACGAGTTCTGCTCCTTAGAGCTGATTTGGTTTTACTTTGATGATGGAAGATTTTTATTTCGATGCGTGTGCTACTAGAGTGTAGAACGTCTTAGCGAATCTTTCCTTAGCGACTCCAATGTCTCCTTAGCAAGCGTGGATAGCGCGTTCATGTACGTGTCATCATCCACTTTATCGTCTTCTTCGGAGTATTCTGCATAACAGACAGATAAACGATGTGATAACAGTCACTGTGGCGCAAGGGGGTGGTTGTTACTATTCCGTCGACTATGAGTTCTTACTTACTGAGCACAAGAACAAGTATGGATGACCGGTTGGCAGTTCAAAATCTGCTGCGAGTAGTGGCGTGGTTGTACAGAGGGCCGCTGAAAATTAGCTCTTGCAGACAGGCTTTTAACTGCGCCACCTGTTGCATGCATTTTCACGTCGTGCACGTTAGTTTCCCAATATTAGAATGTGGTTGTATGAATTGTTCAGCGCAACTTTCAAGACGAGGTTCTGTTTACGGTTCATTTCTGACGTAGCTTTTAGTGGATGATATTCTACGGCTGGGACATGCGTCCTTATTCTGCAGCCATTGCAGACACCCAAGCGAATCAGGAGCGCGGATTTCTGGGTAATCACTACGTTCACCTCGGGGATTGGCTGTAATAAAGAACGAAAGTTGCAATAAAGAATTGCACTAACACCCCTTCCATTTCTGTCGTTTCGAAGCAGTGACATACCGGGTAAATTGATCTCAGAGTTGACTAACTTAAAGTCTAACCAGATCTCTATAATCATTATGAAACCCCATGGGTGAGAGGCCTGGCGCTTTCTGATTTGGCTAACATACTAAGAAGGTTTTGGCGTTAGTGTACAAGCATGATAGATAGTATTTTGGATGTTAGGAGTGTGTTGTTGTATGTTAAACACGTATTTATTTTAACCCGATCGCTTGGTGTTCGGCCTCTGATCTTTTTTTGTAGGTCCTTGGTTTATGAATTTTAGTCGGGCTGAATGGCCTCATAGCGCGTTTCAAATCTGGATCTTCTCTCGTGCTTCGCTATGTCCTGTTGTGTGCCGTTTGTACTGTTGTGTCGGTCTCTGCGAAGACAAAGAATTTACTGCGATTGCAAGTTTCATCGAATTGCTAACCACTCTTGACCGTGCGCCTGCTGTCTTTATCCATTGGCAACCTGGCGCGACATTTTCAATAGGACTTCTTCTATTAATCTTCGAGTACCGTCTTTATAGTTAGGTGGAAAGGGAATTCTTTTCCACGATTGGACGATAATTTCGTCCAAAGAGAGCGCTTTGCGAATATGGCGCTACTGCTTTCAGTCAGTAAAATCCGGAAGCTCTGGAAAACCATGTACAAATACGGTCTTCTTGGTACCACTTTTAGGAGGGCCTCTTTGGTTATCCTCCTCCTTTTGGTGATCTTTCCAAGGAAGATCGGGTTGTATACGCACCCCGCTCGGTGAGTTTCGGAGACGGACTGCTGAGAGTTAGACAGCCTCTGTCTCATTTTCTGAGTTCCGCTTTACTCAGAGAATTCGAACTTCGCCGTAGTTCTCTAAAGTCGGATGACGCGCTACACATCTCAGCATAGTGGGCTCAACCCGAATACCAACACTGCAACCTGGCGGATGTGACTCGCCACTAAATAAAGTCACAGCTAAACATTTCACACCGACGCAGTCCTCAGCCTTCTACATCCAACCTGCGCAACTGGTTTTACTATGAAGTATGCTTTGATGGAACACAGGTCATTCCGATTTCGTAATGGTCATTGATTGCACCAAAACCTTGTTTGGGCTCCTGTGCTCATGGATTACTACATGGCGAAATTACGCACAACTTGTATCTTGACGCAACGGTTATGACTGATTTTTACGCGCCTCAGCGCCATCATGTTCCTTGGTCTGACTATTACCTGACAAAATGCTCACTCGTATAGACTACATCTTTTCGTTTATACCTTTCATTAAAACGAAATGTTTTAGTATTCCAAAGAAGCTATGCTTGTATGCATATTTGATCGCGCCTTTACAGGTATGTCTCGTTTTACCGAAAATATACCATTTATTTATTTAATCGCATCACAAATGGAATTTCACTGCTTGCAATCGTTCAGTAACTTGCCCCTTATTGTGCCAGATTTCTGATCTAGTACTTTGGTGCATCCAAGAGTTAACCTACTGTAGTTCTGTCTAGCGAATCTCGGTTTGGGAGTTGTTGCTGGAGATTTCGCTTGTTTAGCTGACACCACTGGAGATTATCATAAGAACTGCTTCGCACCTCTTGTGCTCGGCAGCGGGAAATGAAGTCACTGACGACCAAACTGGGTGCCGTTGGTCCGTCTCGCCTTCCGGGTTGGAGTCCACGTGACTCACCTTGTGCTTGGCTCGAGACTTTACAGGACATGGCTCGCAACCGACACCAGTGGCGCGTCT